GGGGAGAACATGACCCAGGTCAGCGCCTTCATCCTGGTGGGCTTCCCCACGGGCCCCCGGCTGCAGTACCTGCTCTTCCTCCTCTTCCTGCTCACCTACCTCTTTGTGCTGGTGGAGAACCTGGCCATCATCCTCACTGTCTGTGGCAGCCCCTCGCTCCACAGGCCCATGTACTACTTTCTGGGCATCATGTCTTCCCTGGAGATCTGGTACGTGTGTGACATCATCCCCAAGATGCTGGATGGCTTCCTCCTGCAGAGGAGGCGCATCTCCTTCGTGGGCTGCATGACCCAGCTCTACTTCTTCAGCTCCCTGGTGTGTACCGAGTGTGTGCTCCTGGCCTCCATGGCCTACGACCGCTACGTGGCCATCTGCCACCCCCTGCGCTACCAAGCCATCATGACCACGGGGCTGTGTGTCCAGCTGGTGGCCTTCTCCTTCATGAGTGGCTTCACCATCTCCATGATCAAGGTCTACTTTATCTCCAGCGCCACGTTCTGTGGTTCCAATGTCCTGAACCACTTCTTCTGTGACATCTCCCCCATCCTCAAACTGGCCTGCACGGACTTCTCAACTGCAGAGCTGGTTGACTTCATCCTGGCCTTCCTCATCCTGGTGTTCCCGCTTGTGGCCACTGTGCTGTCCTATGGGCATATCACCCTGGCCGTCCTGCGCATCCCCTCGGCCACGGGCCGCTGGAGAGCCTTCTCCACCTGCGCCTCCCACCTCACCGTGGTCACTATCTTCTACATGGCCATGATCTTCATGTATGTTCGGCCCCAGGCTATTGATTCCCGGAGCTCCAATAAGTTCATTTCTGCTGTTTACACTGTCCTCACCCCAATCATCAACCCCTTGATCTACTGTCTGAGGAACAAAGAGTTCAAGGGTGCCTTGAAAAGGCTCTGGTCTTAGACCAAGTTTCAAAGCAGCACAATTAAATGTCCTGTAATCTAATTTGTGATGGTAATAACATCTTATCTTCCATTTGAGAATTGTTTGCCTATTCCAATATCATGAAGATATTCTCCTGTGTAACTCCACAAGCTTTGCTGTTTTACCCTTCATGTCTCGATTTATAGTCCACCAGAAATTGATTTTTATTTACAGTATGAGATCTGGGTCAGCATTAATTCTTTTCTATATGTATATGAAGTTGACCAGAACCCACTCTTTGTTTAAAAGACGCTTTGCCCTCTGCAAAATCACCCTTTTCATAAACCAAATATCTATTTATTCTCATCTTTTTGGACTCATTTTGTTTCATGGTCTGTTTGTCTATTCATGTGTATTATGTCCTTGATGTCAAGCCCAAGAATTCTTTCCCTAATCCTCAGTCCTGAAGGTTTTATCCTATGACTTTTTTCTAAGGGTTTCACAGCTTTGTCCTTACAATGAAGGGCCATGATCCACTGTTAGTCAGGTTTTGTATAAGGTGCGATGGGCATCCTAAGGTTTGTTGTCCATGGATATCCAACTGCTGTAATGCCATTTACTCAAAAGGCTGTCATTCCTTTGCTGAGCTGCACTGAACCTTTGGAAAGTATCAGTTGACAATACTGGTGCTGATTTATTTCTGATCTCTTTGGCAACCCCTCTCCCAGGACCACGTGGTCTCTATTAACATAGACGCAGAATAAATCCTCAACAGTGGAGGAATGATCCCTCCCACTTCACTCTTCCTTTTCCAAATGGCTGCTGTTCTTCTAGGGCCTGGACAGGGGAATTTTATTACAAGCTCATCTACATCAATAAAAATCTTGTTGAGACTTTGACAGGACTTGCGTTAAACTAACAAATCAGTTGGGGGAGAATTCTCGATTTCTCTGTTGAGTCTTCTCATGTTGTGTAGCTTTCAGCATACATATCTTGTATGTTTTGCTAGATTTATACATCTTTTGCTAGATTTATACCTAAGTATTGTATTTCTGGAGCTATCATAAATGGTGTTGCCTTCTTTTTGTTTCCACTTGTTTTTTTGTTAGTATATAGAAATGTAGTTGATTTTCACATTGACTTTGTAACCTGAAATCTTGCTGAATTCATTTACTATTTCTAGGAATTTTTTGTAGATTGCTTTGAGTTTTCTACATAAACAATCATGTTAACTACATATACAGATAGTCTTACTTCTTCCTTTCCAATCTGCATATCTGAAAGTGAAAGTTAGTCATTCAGCTGTGTTCGACTCTTTGTGACTCCATGGACTGTAGCCCACCAGGCTCCTCTGTCGTGCATGGGATTCTTCAGGCAAGAATACTGGAGTGGGTTGCATTTCCTCCTCCAGGGAATCTTCTAACACAAGGATGGATCCTGTGTCTCTGCCATTGGCACAGAGAGTCTTTAATGCTGAGCCACCAAGGAAGTCTGCAGATATTGTAACCTGTTTCTTATTTTAGAAAGATTAGAAGGAAAGCATCAGTCTTCACTATTAAGTATGATGTTTGCTATAGGTTTTTGTAGATTTTTTTAATCAAGTAATTAGTAAATTGTTGCACCTTATGTGATTTCAAGATAATGTAGGTATAATATTTTTGTTACAATAAGTCCCCTACATACAAACATTCAAGATGCAGACTCTCAAAGAGTTGGCCTTGTTTGTGTGTCCAATCACACAAGTAGAACTGTACACAAAGGTTGCAGCAGCCATTTAGAGTGCAAACCAGTGTTACCATGTCATCTATGAAGAGAAAAAAAGAGGTACCATCCAGACATCACTGGATCCTTTTTTTTTTCAAGAGGGTGGACTGAACTGAATCCAAGAAGGAAGCAGAACCTGTGCCATCCATGTCATGCATGAGTGAAGCAGCAGCTCACCCCCCATCTCCGGTTGCTGACAATCCTTCAGTTCTACCATCTCCCACCTCCTCTGTCTCCTCGTCAGTAACTTTGCCTGTTCAATCCACGCCAGCCCTGTATGCCAACTGTTGGTATATACTACTGTACTTTTCAAGGCACTGTGTGTACTGTCAGGCTAAACATGTTGTTTGTTTTTTATATATTGTGAAAAGTATTATAAAGCTATTACAATACAGTATTAGTCAATTGTGTTAGTTGGGTACCTAGGCTCATCTTGTTGGACTTAGAAATGTGTTCTCAGAATAGAACTCGTTCAAGTGCAGGAGACTTAATGTATTGTGGTTTTCAAAGTACCTCATACTGATCCAGAAAATCCACCTTTCTCTCTTATAAGCTAATACTGAACTTCTGCTCATTTGGTTTCACTGCTGTAGTCAAGTGATTATACAATTGCTCCAACTGAAGCTGGACAGATTCATAAACTGAGCTCATTTGGAGGGACATTCCCAAGCACACTGCTTCCTCTCCGTTTCTGGATATGGAATGGCAGCACTTGGTCATGGCTGGCTGTCCAGATCCCAGAACAAATATTCATGTGAACCATCTTACTATTAGGGACATTGAACATTTATTTCTGTGCACCAACAGCTCAACTTACTCTAGATACAAGAGTATTTCTGTTTAACCAAGTAAGTTTTGGTTTTAAACAGGTAGTTGGGGAAACACGATATATAACCAAGCATGCCTTCCTAAAATATTCATCTTAAACGTTAGGGTTAAGAGTCCTGAGGTTTGCCCCCGTGGATGCCTCCTGTCTCAGATCAGTATCTGGAGGCAGGAACCAGGGAGCAGAGGAGGCCAGGCCTGGAAAGGCCCTTGACAGAAAGGCAGTTCTCAAAACAGAGTGGTGGGTGCAGGGCCAAGGAGACTGACCATGTGATCCCATTTGGGGGAGTTGTTTCCAGCTGGCCCCAGTGGTAAAGAATCTTCCTGCTAATGCAGGATATGAGGGTTCAATGTTTGGTCCAGGAAGATCTCCTGGAGGTGGAAATGGCAAACAGCTCCAGTATTCTTGCCTGGAAAATCCCTTGGACAGAGGAGCCTGGTGGGCTACAGTGCACGGTTTCACAAAGAGTTGGACATGATTCTGTCTATGTTTGTGTGTCTATTGTGCAAGCACGTGCGCATGCACACACACACACACACACACACACACGGTTGTTTGAAAAAACTTAGGACAGTCATATCCTTAGGACAGTGATATTTAACTTAAGGTTACTTTGCTTTCCACTGAGATCTTGCTCTCTTTTTCACTATGCCATCAGCACAAATTTAATAAACACAGAACTTGGTCTTGGGAAGTGATAAGAAGGATGTGTGTTTGCTTGGGTGAAGCAGGAAAGACAACCAAGTGCTGGAGCGACTATGCAAACTGGCTAGTGGCACAAGGCCAGAGAACCTGACAGGGAGACGTGCCCACCCTCACCCCCCACCCCCAACTTCTCAGACACACTGGAAAGGCCATGCGGCTTCCCAGACATCATAACGTGGAGCCAGCACTCGGGTAATAAGTGGCGACTCCACCGGGCCGGATGGCTTGGGGCTACCTGGCCACACCTGGTCATCTAACTGTATTTGAGGCACACCTGTCCTGTGAGAGGAGTCTGCTTGGGGCTGAGGGCACAGTGGTGCAGGATCTGGACACGGCCCTTGCTCTCGGACAATGTATGGAGCCACGTTTCTCTCAATGTGGGTCATTCACATCAGAACCAGCTGGAAGCTTGCTAAACGGATTTTAGAGCCCATCCCAGATCTTCTAAATCAAACCCTCCGACTTTGGGGGCTGGGGATCTGAATTCTGAATAAGCAGCTCTCTTACTGGAGACATACCCATTGAAAGGACATTTGTTGTGACAACTGCGTGACTATTCTGAAAAGTTGAAAACCGAACGAATGTTAAACAACACTTAGTGTATTAAAAACAATACGCCTGAGGAGGAGGAGGGTGAGGCTTGTAAGACCTTTTCAAACGGCAAGTGTAGTAGGAAAGAACTCTCAAGCACCGTGGGCCGGGAAGGCCGGTTCTGGTCCGGACCCCTCTTCGAGAGCCTCCCTGAGGAGCACGCTTGTCCGGCGTCCGCTCTCACACCTGCCGTCCTTTCACCCCCGGGCTGCCCTCCTAGCCTCCGGTGGTTTGTGAGCTGCGGAGACACTTCCAAGGTGACCCTGAAGTCCGCCCCTGCAGCCCTGGGGAGTCGGGAGGATGGGGTGCTCCCTGGACGCGTATGAGGCGCGGTAGTAACTACCAGGCCCGGGGCGGCTTCAGCTCCCCACACTGCGCCACCTCAAAACCCGCGGCGGGCGGGCCTCCCTCTAAGATCCAGGCGGCGAGAAGACCGTCCCTCAGAACCCAGGCGGCGGTCGAGCCTCTCGGGGACCCGGGCGAGCCTCCCCTAAGGAACCTGGGCGGCGGGAGGACAACTCTTCGGAACTCACCCCTCAGAACTCGCGCGGCGGGCGGGCCCTAAGACGCCGGGATGAGGCGAAGGCAAAGGGAGATCCCTGGCGGACCAGCCCGCAACTGCGCGTTGTGCGCCTGCGCTCTTCGCCTGAACCCGTCAGGCGCGGCGCGGACACCCCGGCCGTGACGTCACGGCGGCGCGCCGACAGCCGGAGAGGACCCCGTCGCGACCGCGTCCCCTCGGGTCCTTGAGCCGGTGCAGACTGCGGAGCCATGGCCTTGAGGCTGCTGAGACTTGTCCCCGCGTCCGCGGCTTCCCGGGGCCTCGCGGCAGTCGCCCCGCGCGTGGTGAGCCTGCGGCGGGCGGGAGCTGCGGGGGCGACCTGTCTTGTCCTTCTGGCGCCGCCCCTTCCTCACTTCCCCGGGCCTCCCAGGGCCCTTCCCGGCGGGGGATCCCACTGTCCTCTGAAGTGTCTGGTCGTGCGTTGCGAGGACAGAGCTTGGAGGGGCCGTAAGCTTCTTCAGGCCATTTTCTCTCAGCTCCAAGTAGAAAGTGGGGCACGGAGGTGAATGGGCCTCCTGGCCGCCCTGCTGGGGGAAACCAGTTTACAGCCGTTGTGGGGTGTGTTGAGCCCGGGCCGGGGGCGCGCGCGCTCATTCAGTCAACTCCTGAGGGGGCGCTGTCAGTGGCCGGGTAAGGGGTGAGTGACGGAGAGCAGAAATGGCAGAAGGCGTTCAGGTCAGATCTGGAAGCGTTAGGAGAGCTTCTGGAATGACACTGTACGCAGAGCCAACAAGACAAGCAGTGAGTTGCGTCAGGAAAACGACTTTATGACAGTGACTGTGTCATAGCTTCTGTGGCTCCTAGTGACTGGAGGGGCGTTGGTGGCAAATTGTAAAGAGACTTGACCTCTGTGCTCAGGATTTTGATGAGCAAAGGTTATTGAACAGAACAGTGCAGTGGTCTTATTAAAAAGCCCTATAAATGTCTTTAGGAGATAATTCAGGCTGCAAAACAGCAGAAAAAGAGAGAATTGTGTTTAACACCCAGTATACTTCCGTGCATTAGTGGAAGTGAGAGCCCCAGGATAGAGGGGGTGCTTCTCTGCTGTGGGGTGCTCACTATGTGGACCCACCTGTGACTGTCCAGTCACATCACTCCCTGCAGGGGGTGTAGATGGACTTCAGTAGGTCCAGAGAAAAATGAATAGGATGCAAAGGGTATGCAGCTTGTTATTAGGGTGGTGCAAAAGTAATTGCATTTCACATTGTTGAAATACATTCTTAAATGTGGTTATGTTATACATCATTTTAATGCGCATTTCTCACTTTATGTTTTTTTTGCTAATGACATTACTTCTTATGTATTTTACATTTATTTTAGACTAGGGAAATGATAGACAAAAAGCAAATTTGAGTGGTTTTTTTATTTGAGTTCAAAATGTGTCGTAAAGCAATGGAGACAACTCGCAACATCAACGCGTTTGGCCCAGGAACTGCTGATGAACGTACAGTGCAGTGATGGTTCAAGAAGTTTTGCAAAGGAGACAAGAGCCTTGAAGACAATCTCAGTGGCTAGTCATCGGATGTTGACAGTGACCAATTGAGAGGATCATCAAAGCTGATCCTCTTACAACTACACGAGAAGTTGCTGAAGAACTTAGCATCGACCATTCTGTGGTGGTTTGATATTTGAAGCAAATTGGAAAGGGGAAGAAGCTCAGTAAGTGGGTGCCTCATGAGCTGACTGAAAATCAAAAAAATCATCATTTTGAAGTGTCGTCTTCTCTTATTCTATGCAATAACAATGAACCATTTTTCTATCGGATTGTGGCATGTGACAAAAAGTGGATTTTATACAACAATCAGTAATGACCAGCTCATTGGTTGTACTGAAAAGAAAC